ACTTTCGCGCTGTTAAATGATGATGACAATCAATTAATGAACTAGTTGATAACAATTATTGTTGTTATAAGAATCGTTCTGAATCATCATACAGCCACCCATTAAAAATAAGTTCAATCATAGGCATACCAATTATCGAAATGTGACAATATTGACAAATTGACTACCGTGTTTTTTTTTTTAAGTTTGCTTTGTATTTCATCTGACTTTCACTCACTTTAATTCGCCCCTCTTCCCCGCCAATTTTACCGTTTATCATTTTCTCTATTTTACTCGTAAGAATAGTGTCTAGTCTCGACTATGAACAAACCATCAGACACGAGTAACAATCTGTCGCGTGTCATTTTATCTTCGTGTTTCGTGAAGTACCTTGCATCATCATAGCGACTGCAATTCCGGGCTTGAAGAGTTCCGTAGTTGAAAAACTGCACACTTGGTTACCCCTCCGGTATTTAACGATACTTTGCGATCGGAGCGCAATGGCACCACGTCTCGTGAGATTCGCGATTTGAGACATTAATGACCGGCCGCACCTTTCGCGACGTCGAGCCAGCAACCATAATCAGTTGCCGAATGCTGTTATTAATCCCTGGGCTTCGAAAATTAACACAATCGTAATGGTATCGCCGATGAACCATGTAGTATAGTTCGCTCGTAATATCCCGTCAATCCTTGCAAAAATGTCCCCGATAATCCTGCGGATCTGGATTTCGCTCACGTCTTCCAAGTATCATTTTTTCCACCAGCTTTGCTTTCATCATTTTTCTTTTTTTTTTTTTTTTTTTTTGCCACTCGTTTACGACTGTCACCCATAATTCAATTGCCCGACTCGATCTCGATTCAGAACCGATGATCGCTCACTTTGCACGCCCGATAACGGCACACTGTTTGTGCGAGTCCAGCTGCATAAAAATTATATCGAATCACATTACGAACAGAATGTCACAGACAACTATGGCCAGTCTCTCCGGCTGGAGGCCTGGGAGATCGCAAATGCAGTGCGCATGCTTGTGGACGATATTCGTCAGAGCAGCTACGCCCTGCCGGCGACGGCGCGGCAATTGCAAGTCGGCAATTTTCAGATATTTTTAAAATTGTTAATTCTGCTTTTACTTCTATTATATTGTTCATTAAATAAAATGCGTTTTGATTCTAACAGAAGAATTGAGATGAAAGAAAAGCATACGTGTATATAAATGTGACATGGTATCACTTTTTCTATTTCTTTGCTTAAAATTCGTTCAAGTTTCACTATATTGTTTTGGACAAATTAGTCGTAATTCATGAAAATTTGATCTTGAACTTTATCAAATTGGTTGCAGCGGAAAACGAGTTAATTTTTTTAAATAATAAAACTGCACTGTCTTCAAATATTTAATAAACAATCAAAGTGAAAAAGAACAAATTTTAAAAATAAGAAATTTTTTATTATTTATTTGTTATGTATACTGTTCTATAAAAAATAAATGTATATTTCAAGAAATAAGAAGTTTTGTTAAAAATAATAATAAAAATAATTAAAAAGAATTAAAAATAATTGTTTGTTAAAAATCCTGTTCCTGATTTTAAATTTAAAATATTGTTTTCACTTCCTGGACGAACAGAACAATACTAGAGATGGAAAAATCTTAGAATGCACTTCAGCAAATATGCTTTGATTAGGAAATCTGAAACTTTGTCCCAAATCCTTTGTCCCAAATTTGTAAAAACATTTCTTTAGTCGATTTTGCGAGATATATATAAATATATATTCCACATAATCGTTTAAATTTTTCATTAAATCTTTATGAAATGGTAATTTATATTAAATAAATAACATTGCTAAATAAAGAAATAGTTTATAGAAAAATTTTCGAATAATATTTTAATTTTTAATTAATAAAATTTATTATTTTTCATACCCAATGCATAATTATAATAAAATTGTTAAAAATTTAATATAAATTTGCTATATAAGTAAATGAGGAAATATAATAATCCTAATATTTTAGTATTATAATAATATTAAGAAATAATTGACTATGTTTTATAAAGTATGAATCATTTATATTTAAAAACATGCATTAATAATTTTTAAATTTTTATTTACTATATATTTAAAAAAGCCATGATAAATCCATAAAATATAGATAAAAAACCCTTTCTGACATGTAGAATAATTTCGATTAATTAGTAATCTCATTTTGGTGTTGAAAATTGAAAACATTGTAATGGATTTTAAAAATCATGTTTCTGACGCATTTGCTACTTGATAAACTTCGATCGTTTTACTTGCTATAGTTCTTCAACCGTTGTTTAAGCGTAGAATGCGCTAAAAACTAGTCATTTTTTTTTACTATGTCGGTATTACAGAACATGGGTCACGAAATCCTACAAAATGTTGTCTATTCGTATACCTCGTCTGTGTTGCTATAAACTGTTCTGATAAACGCTGATACGAATTTGAAATGCCTAAAGTGCGTAGAAGTAAAAAACCTCCACCGGATGGTTGGGAATTAATCGAACCAACATTAGAGGAATTGGAACAGAAAATGCGAGAAGGTAATAATAAAAAGAAAACAGAGGTTATGAAGTAGGAGGTTATGTTGATAGCGAAATATTTTCATCTTTCATACGAAATAATTTTAATTGTTAATTGTGTTTGGATTGTAGCGGAAACGGAACCTCATGAAGGCAAACGAAAACAGGAATCTTTATGGCCCATATTTAAAATTCACCATCAAAAATCACGATACATATATGATTTGTATTACAGACGGAAAGCGATAAGTCGAGGTGAAATATCATTGATTATTTTATTTCCTTATTTATTCTTCTCTTATTTATTATATTTATTATATTTTCTGTTTTCAGAATTGTATGATTATTGCTTGAACGAAAATATAGCAGACAGGAATTTGATTGCCAAATGGAAGAAAGTCGGATATGAGAACTTATGTTGCTTACGTTGTATACAACACAGGGATACTAACTTTGGTACAAATTGTATTTGCCGAGTACCCAAAGGCAAACTTGAAGAAGGCAGAATAGTGGAATGCATTCATTGCGGATGTAGAGGATGTTCTGGATAGCATTTAGCAATGATCATAAGATATGTATTTTTATCTTTTGTTAATGATATCGCACTGTAACTATTATTATGTGTTATTAGAAACTATACTGCATAATGTCGATGAAAATGTTATGAAAATACCTTATGAAATACCAAATACCTTGATTTGGATTGATAGTTTGTGAACTGATGATACCAGCTAAAGGCTAATACAAGATATTCTATGTATGTATAATTGAGAAGTTTTTAGTCGAATAAATAAATCTTTCAATTTGAGAAAGTAAAGTAGAACTGAACTAAAAACTAATAAAAGATGTATACCTTATTGATGTATATAAGTTTTTCACAATACTAAACATAACAATGTTTTATTTGCATCATCAATAATTTTGATATGAAATGAACAATATTTTTTAATCGTGATGTTTTTTGTAGAGTTCTGTAAAAATTGTCTGACATTCTTTATGAGTAAATGTTTGTGTATATTGGTTGTTTAATACAATAAATCTTTTACCATTTCGCCAAACTGTAACTGGTGGTGAGTCGCATACAGTTCCTTTAGCAAAATGACGAATTACATTTGTTCTTGCAGATAAAAATGAAATAGCGGATCGACATTCTGAAATGGTGAAATCTCTTTGAGAAGTTTGTGTAGCGATTCCAATAATTTGCCAAGAATATTTAACACTACAACTGTAGACTGATTCGCCATCAGCAGGATTGTTTTCTTCAACTAAACTGTTCAAAAGGGTTTTTGATGTTTGGGAACCTGTTCCAATGACTTGCCATGAATACTTTATCTTGCAAACATGGTCATTTTTCTGCAAATTTGCACAATCCTGGTATTGAGACTGATTCTTTGTAAGAAATGATATAATTGAACAATTAATATTTTCCAGGGAATGATGATGAAAATTACTCGTAGCCAAGATTTTACTATGTGTAGTTTTTATTGTATCATTTCTGTTTGTCTCTGAAAAATTATCTGATGTCGAAAAATCAAACATGGTACATTGAACTTGATTAAAAGGTTTCGATTCAATACGTTTAATTGGGTATTCTAATTCTTCGTCATAATTAATAACATCATTAGAAATCATCCCTCTTACATCGATATCGTTTAAAATAGATCCACGATAAGAATCAAAAATAGATTGTTTTTCATTTTGTTCTTTCTTCCTGGTCGTTGTTATAGAACGCAATGTGATCGAAATATTTGAAGCATTATTTATAATTGAATTGTTCAAAATATTCTTTTCTGATATTTGTATATTTTCATTAGCATTTGGTAATAAATATTTAATCCGATTTGAATCATTCTGCGACTGACGTGCAACGTCATTGTCCAGTGTGTACAACTTTAATTTTGTATCATTATAGTATGTTTTTGGAAGATTCGACGAAGTACGATTAATGCTGTCAATTGTTTCTTTTTCATTCATTTTATCTTTCTTCTTCCAATTATTTGATCTAGTTATATTTTCATCTATCAAAGGAGATTGACATTTGAACGAAGTCAAAGGCATATCAGAAATCGATGAAGGAAATATTAATATTTGTTGCTTTTTATTCTCTGGTCGTTGAGGAATATTTTCTTTTTGACTGTTTATAAAACTGTAACTTTTATTAATCGAATGCGATTTTCCTGACAACTTTACTTCTTTATGTTTACTTATTACATTGGTCTGAAAACACATTTATGTTGCATGTAAATCTTTGAAAGTTATCATGAGTGAAATTTCACTTTATTTTCCATATCATTGCTATGTTAAATATTATAAACAAAAACTCTCCTATTTTTTAGCATTTAATTGTGTTTAATTTTATTTATATCTAAAAAAAAAAAAATAAATATATATAAAATCTATAATATAGACTTTGAGAAACAACTTCAATAACCTTGAGTAATTTCCAAGAAGTTTTAGCTAGGTTTGTTATTGTTTACAAAATTAATTAATTATTAAATATAGAACACTTCTGCTACAAAGTTAATATATGTTATATTTGATTATTATTGAATGAAAATTTTGATTAAAACTTTAAATAATTAAACATACAATTAAACATAATCTAATCTAATCTATGCTAAATCTATTCTAAACTTAATTCAAGCATAAATTAAGTTAGATTAAATTATTGCGGAATAAGGATAGCATCCATATATTTCATAAATATTTATCAATTAACATTCAGAAATTACTTTGTTTATAACAAATTTATTTGCTATTATTTTAATTTAATAGAAATGTAATTTCAAAAAAACTAATCAATACGTTTTCAAAATATAGAATTCTTTTTACTTGGAAAATCATATTTGTAATAATTAATAATTTTTTTAATTTATTACTAATAAAAATTTTTTGAGGATTATTCAAAAGAGTGTCCATAACAATGTATGGTTGGAAGATCAGGATCATCGAAATTGTTTTCCCTAAAGTCAATATTTATCTAAAAAAAAAAAAAAAAAAAAATACATTGAAGTGAAATTTTACACATGACAGCATGAATATAATTGTTTTATGAGCTTTTATAAATTAAGCAATTTTCTTTTTCATTACAAAGATCATACATTTATACATACATAAAAGGAACAAAGAGAATGAAATAGAAAAGAAATGAGATCAGAAACGATAGAAGAAATAATAGTTCAATTTTTAAGTAAATAACCTGTTTCGGATAGGAAATTGAGTTTGTATATCTCTTCTCTTGAAGACACGGTTTTTTTAATAACGACATTTTTGTGCCATTGTTACATTGGTAGAACTTAACAAGTTCGACCTTCGGTACGGAAAGACACTGTATTGCATCAGCACATTTTTTTGTAAATACAGTCTTTGTTATTGGTACAAAAACATTCTCTGTAACCACTTCGACTTTCGGTATAAATGATTTTTTCGATTTTATCGCACTTCGTATGCGATTGCTTTTTAACTCCATTGTAATTTTACATACATATTAATCCTTTCCGAACTAAATGTTTTTTCAGTCTGTGAGAAAAAAAAAATTTGTTTTTTTTATTTAATCATTAACAATAGAAATACATGTTATCGAAGGGTTATAAAAAAAATTACAATCCATTAAAATTTGAAATCAATTTTATTGAAAGTAAACACGCTTATCGCCGAGTTAATTGATAACTTACTAAAATACCAAATTTCAAGTGTTAAATATGATTTCCTTGTTTCTCTATCTCATTCATGTAATTTACTTTTCAATTTGTCACATCCCAAAAATAAATGAGACTAAAAACAAGGTTCGAATAGAAAGGAAGGTTAAAATTTTGCAAAAAAAAAAAAAGAAAAAAAAGGAAAAGCTACATTTATCGTGATTCTCTTATTTTACATCAAAAATTTTCATTGGGTATTTATTAATCATAGTAATTCTCTATAAACAGTAAAATCTGTTATTTCGTAATAAAATGAATATATGTACGTGCTAAAGATATCTTACAAATGGAAGAAAGAAAAGAGCCAGAAGTACTTCAATTCGGTTAAAAAAGAAAAAGAAATTTCTCACAGCATAATTCAACGAATAATTAAGTTGCCTACTGTTGCATTTATTTCCCAGCTTGATTAATAAACACTAGCTTTAATTTGCTTATTTTTTTTTCTACATTCTAATCACAGCAATCATCTCATTCAATTAAATCTTCTTTCGACCAGATGGCGCCATTCATTTTCACAACGTGCGCGCGCGCGCGTACACACACACACACACACACAAATATGTATATATACGTAGTATAGGTAGCATAAATCAAATCGGTATCGATACTATTATTGGTAATATCAAGATATCAATCGATTTGATACTAAAATATTCAGTGAGAAGCATCGATACGTATATATTGAAATTGTAAGTACTTAATACCTACTTGGTATTAATTTTTGATACTACTTGACTTGATATTAATCTCTCTATTCATTGAATTTAAAAAAAACTATATAAAACAAAAGCTTCTTTTACTTTATCATTCTACTTTATCTTTCTTATTACATTACAGACTTTTCTCCATTTTATTATTCTGTAAATGTTTATAAATTTGTATGAAATACAATTTTTTGAAAAAGAAATTCTATTTTTGTGTGTGTATATATATATATATACTTGTATATATATATACTTGTATGTATATATATATATTGTGTATATATATATAAGAAACACGTGTAAAATTTGTGTTGGCAAATGTGATATTACAAAAATGGACCTTAAATCAAAAAATATTCATTTCATACCTCATGAAAATATCGATAATCATTTAATTTCTTTGTTAATGTATCGATCACAAACGAGGTACATATATGATATCGTATATCTCGTCTGTGGCAAAACATATCCAGTTACTTATATATTTAGAAAATTTAATAATTTGTGATATAAAAAATGAAAAATGTTGACAAAATTTAGGCAATGCTAAATTAAATTAAATATTATTTAATATTATAATTAAATATTATTTAATTTAATTGTAACATAATATAATATAATTAATTATAAAGTATAATATAATTAATTATAATATAATATAATATTGAATATTATTCGCATTCAATGCAAATGAATTTATATTGGCATATTTATTGAAACGCTTTTTACAACTGGAAAATCAGTGTCTAATGATTAAAGATTGGTATTTGTCTAAATTATTGCCAATTTGTTAATGTTAACAATTTATTGATAAATTAACTTATTTTTTCATTACATAAAAAATATACTTTACATACTTAAAGAAAAAAAAAATATATTTCCTGTAATTTGTTATAACTTATTTATTGATATATTTTCTGCAATTTATTTATTATTAATGAACATAGTAATCATTTGAGTTTTAGTTTAGCTTTAGTTTTGGAAATTGTTCTCATATTTATTCTGAATTATTTAATTCAACTTGCAAATGTTGTAGTATTCAAATCGCTTAAAAATTTATGGAAGAGAAGTAACAACAAAGAAATATAGTAGAAATGCCAAATATTAGATAAAATGTATCAAATTTTGAAAAAAAAAGAACTACTAATAAATTTAAATAACTTTAAAGCATCTGATCTTTATTGTTAGAATCCAAATGCTGTTTATTATACTAACTACCTTGGTACCAAACAGTTAAAAAATTATGCACAATAATCCAGCAACAAATTCACTTAAAACTTTTGTAAAGATAATGGGAGATAAATTATTAAAACAATTAAAATCATATTTTCCTTAAAACGCTTCATTACAAGATTGCTAATACAATTTACAATTAAAAGGCATTAAATCCTGCGTAAGGCTTATTAACTACTTAATAATTTCACATGGAAGAAATGAACTTTATAACAGATAGAATTTACAGATCTTGCAGGCATGTTCATGATTATAATAAATGATACAAGAAATAATGTTTGTAATAATAATGATGAAGATGATATCACTAACAATATAAATGACTGATAAAAACTTAAATAATTATATAATAATTATATAATTATATAATATTTAAATAATTATATAATTATACAATAATAATTAAAAATAATAATAAAACCAAAAATAATAAACTAAATAATTTGAAAAAACACACTAACAACTTAATGGTATTTAATTTGAAAGGAAAAAAAATCTAATATCATCTTATTTGAATGAAAATTAAATAAAGAAAAAAATTTATATATCATAGCAAAAAATGAAAAGAAATAAAAAAAATATTTTAAAATGGATGTAATTTAAAAAAAAATTTGCGGATTATGAAAAATAATAGAAAAATTATTAGTAAAGTTACAAAAACAAATAAAAGGCAAGTACGAAAAATTCAGTGATAGAGGAAGTATTCATAATGAAAGACAAAGAAATTAATAAAGAGTAATACTATTAATTTTAAGAAAACAAGTGTGATAAATAAGATAACAATGAGTGATAAATAAAATAAATTTAAGTTTATAAGTAATTTGTGAAATGCATTTATTAAACAATTTATTAAACAATTAATTATTGCAATATATTCAGTTTTATTTAATGTTGCCATAACTTCTTCTAATTTTATATTCTAAAATAAAATGTTATATATTAAAAAAATATACGTATAATAAAGAGATATATAAATAATAAAGCATACTTTATTTATTTTCATTAAGTCAGTATTTTAACCTGATATTTATCATGAAATCAATGTACTTTGAATTTTAATTTTTTGAACGATTATGTTGTGTACATACTAATGTTGAAATCAAAATTAATTCACTTCTGATTTAACAGAAATCAGAGATATAATCTGCATAAATGTACACTAGCAGAAATTTTAGATGGATATTCAAATAGCTATAAAATCTAAATTCACAATTATTTTAATATCAACGACTACAATTAATATGTTTAATGAAAAATAAAATATAAAACACAATTACCTTCACTCGTACTTAAATATAAATGTATAAATCAAGCAATCAGAGAGAAATATCAGTAAGGAAAGCATGAGAAAAATTATGCTTTCATTGTAGTATCCTTTTATTCCTTGCAGTACAGTACATACCAAAAATGTAATAAAAATAAACAAGGCATAAAACAAAGAATTGTATTTGTTTCTATGATTTACATGTGGAATCATTTTCTGTCCAGTTGCTGTGTTATCCATTCTAGAACACAAGTTTAAAACGGGCGTTCGATATGACATTCGTTTGTTTTGATTGAGAAAAAATTGTTAGTTAAACATCGTTGCAAGTCGTTCGTTGTAAGATATTGAAATATAAGAATTACAAGAAATTTGAAAGTACGAAAATATAGAAAATGAAAGAAAGATAATGGAAATAAATATTTGTTTGAATGTCAATCCTCGAATTGACAACGAATTCGAATTCGTTTTGGTGCATATCTTTTTATAACCAAATTATCGATGA